CCCTTACAGGGAGGGGCTGTCGCCATCAGCCTCACTGCCCGCACCTGGACCTGCTCCAGCCCCGGCCCACAGCTCGGCCCCACCTCCAACCCGGGGTTCCGTCACAGCCTCTAGCCCTCTGCAAAGGGAATGCAAACGCAGCAGGGAAGGAAAAAGACAGGCGAGTGTGTAGAAGAGAAACTGCATGGCTTCGCCCAGGGCAAGTCCTGCCTGCCCAAGCTAGTGACTTCCTATGACGTGGAGTGACAGTATCAGGGGACAAGGGAAAACCAATGTACATCATCTAGCCGAACCTCTGTTAAGGCTGTGACACCGTCCCCCACACCATCCTTCTCTCTGAATTGGAAAAATACAGATTTGAGGGGTGGACAAGGAATTGGTTAGATGGTCGCTTCCATACGGCAGCGACCAACATCTCCCTATCCAGATGGAGACCCGAGGTGAGCAGTGTCACTCAGTGGTCTGTACTAGGACCGGTACTTTTTAATACACTCATCAATGACATAGAGAGATTGAGCATATCCTCAGCACGTTTGCAGATGACATGAAACTGAGCAGTGGGGTCAACATGCCAGAAGGATGGGATGTTATCCAAAGAGACCCAGACAAGCTGGAGAGTTGGGCCCGTGCGAGCCTCACGAGGTTCAGAAAGGCCAAGTGCAAGGTCCTGCACCTGCATCGGGGCAACCCCCGGTATCAGTACAGGCTGGGGGATGAAATGATCAAGATGAGCCCTGGTGAGAGGGACTCAAGCGTGCCAATAGATGAAAAGCTGGACATGAGCAGGCAAGGTGCGCTGACAGCCTAGAAGGCCAACCATCTCAAAAGAAGCATGGCCGGCAGGTCAAGGGGGGCAATTCTTCCCCTCTACTCCGCTCCGGTGAGACCTCACCTGGAACACTGCATCCGGCTCTGGAGCCCTGGATGCAAGGACACAGAACTGTTGGACCGAGTCCAGAGGAGGGCTACAAAAATGATCCGAGGGCGGGAGCACCTCTCGCGTGAAGACAGAGAGAGTTGGGGTCATTCAGCCTGGAGCAGAGAAGACTGCAGGGAGACCTTGCTGCGGACATTTGGTACTTCAAGAGAGCCTATAGGAAAGACGGGGAAAATCTTTTTAGTAGGACCAGGTGTGACAGGACAAGGAGCGATGGTTTTAAACTAAAACAGGGTAGGTTTAGACTAGATATAAGGAAGAAATTCTTTACAATGAGGATGGTGAAACACTGGAACGGGTTGCCCGGGATGGTAGCGGAAGCCCCCTCCCTGGAAACATTCCAGGCAGGGTCAGACGGGGCTCGGAGCAACCCAATCTAGTTAAAGATGTCCCTGCTCGCTGCAGGGAGGCTTGACTAGATGACCTCTAAAGGTCCCTTCCACCCAAAACATTCTATGACTCTACGATTCAGTCACACACGTGCAAGAAGTCCCCGGACCCGAGTCCGTGCCGGGACTCGGGGCCCCGCTCCCGCCTCTCTCGACACCTTGGCAGCCTTTCCTGGAGCCACATTCATCGGTTATGCCAATTTATAGTGTGTCTGTTTACACTTATTATGTAGAATATCTATTTACACTTACAACTATTTATACTGACATATTAACACTTCTTACCTAGAACATCAGTTTAGACTAGTTACCTGTTTAGAGTTATACATTTTGACACTTTACTATCTTTTTAGACCTCTCTATTTAGACTTAGATATTTACTTACATCTATTTAGACTCAGTTATCTGTTTTCACTTAGATATCATCTCTACCTAGATTACATATAATATCTACTTACACTTACTGTGTAACACACACTAAGTGTAGATAGCTCGCTCTATTCAGACTTTTTGTCTATTTTTTTCCTTTTTTCCATGGTGCCAAATCTCTCGCTCAGGCTCTGTGCCACCACGCTCCCCCACTGTTCCCATGCTGGAGCAGGCTCCCCCGGAAAACAATGTCCCCGGTCCCTGTCGTCCCTGGCCCCTCCCACCAGAACCCCCCTAAGCAGCGGGGCCCCCGCTGGAAACAGAGCCGGGAATCTCCAGGCACAGTGTATACTTAATGACCGGCAGGCAAACCTGGGCTGCAGGGCAGCTACCTGGCATCACCAGACCCTGACGAGAATACGGCTGAAAAACACAAATCCCACATTAGATTCCAGCGTATAAAAAAAATAGCTCAGAAGGAAGCAGAGGAATTCCATCAGCATAAGGGATAGGGCAGCAGTCAAGCTCCAGGAGCATTCTAGGTGAACAGGTCAGCTCCAAACAAAACACATCCTTTCAAAGCTAGAGTTTTCTGAATGCTTCAAATGTATATTAAGACTAATTCATATGATTTTGAATGCATTCTTAGTGTAAAAGTAAATGCTCTTGCAGGCGTTGGAAAAAGTCTCGTCCCTTCCTTACAGCACTGCTGCAGACAACCCCGTGACGCTGTGGGACTGGGCCGTAATCAGAATCTACGCCGACAGATCCACCGCAGCAGCTACATCCCTCGCACCGCTGCTGCACGTCTCGCTCCCTAGGTCAAGAAAGCCGAGAGGGAAGTGTAAAACTTTGAAGAGTAAAATGAAAAATAAAGACCAAATGTCAGTAATTGACTTCATGCTAAAAAGGTGTGCGTACGCTTACATACATGCCATAAAAACACTTATAGTATGAAAGTATTTCATTTACCTTTTGCATTAATTTAACTTGCACAGCTGTGACTTGATACCATTAGATTACTCATCTCCAAAATACAATTATAATTTGAATAGGGTTTTTTTTTGCTTGTTATGAAATTAGGACAGACATCTGGCCACCTACACCGCCTGACAGAGAAGCTACCGAACCGCCAGGTAAACGCACCTTTAAAAGCGAGACAGAAATGAAGGACTTCACGGCACTCCATCAAAAAATTGGGGAAAAAAACCCGTAATGTTCAGTTGCTGCTCTTTTTAAACATTTAGAACAAACACCAAACTGCTTAAACACACCTAACGAATTGTATGCTACAGCTAGTTGGCCGTTACGGTTCAAACAACGCAAGTCAGTCTGTAAATTACATGACTAACTTTTTTTTTTTTAAGTTTCATTTATGACATAAAAATCACTGAGAGAAGAGATTCCCCGTACAGTTCTACTTTTGGGGAGGAAATCAAATCCCCAGTACTGCCACACGCAAGGCTACTGAAAAGGACGGGCAGATTTGCTAATGCTGTCGGCTGTACCGAAGCATGCAGAGGAACACGTTCTTACGGTATCTCAACTATTACAGCTGAGAACCAAAGACCAGCAATGCCATCCGTTTTGGAAGACATGCTCCGCTTGGGTCTTTGGAAGGAAATTCACTTTTCTTTTTTAGTATGGCTGGTTAGGGTTTTTTAAGACAAGGAAGGCTCGTTGCCAATGACTTCCACTGCCGAGTACCTCATCTCTGAAGATCTGCTCCGATGGGAAACTCAGAAAACGCCACTTCTCCGAATCAGAAAGATTTCCCTTCTGGAAAATCTCTTTCTGACCGAACTCAAAAATTAAACACCGTAGGTTAAGGAAAACGGACGCGACTGAAGCAGTAACTCAGCAAAACCGTATCCGCTGTCACTAGAGACAAGGCTGCTAACGCTTCTTGGGAAAGCCTGGAAAACACACAGAAGCCCATTTGTCCCTTTTTCTCCACGTCTCTTCTTTGACCTCGACTGCTTTCAGTACAGACGCTAGTGTCTCAGTAACGGTTTTCAGTGCTCCTACAAAATATTTTAAAAACATACTGACTGAGAAAGCGTAAAGCTTTTATCCTAAAAAAAAAGTCTGTTTCTTCTGAACACCTGAACTCTTACAGTTTCTTTCCTCCTTTAGGACAAAATTATTTTCACAGTATCGTTTAATAGTAAGCACGCAGAAATAGAAGATGATGCTTTCAGGAAAAGAAAACAAACAGAAGGAAGTAAACTCTGCATATGCGTAATGTGCACCAGAACAGACCTCATTTTCCTTTTAGTATTTCAGTTAAAATATTTCATAAAAAAAACTATCGGGAGGAGAGCGGCACGTTCTTAATGTTAAATATCCATACTACAAGTACCTTAGGGAAAATGCACGCACGGATCAGAGATGTACTTTGTACTTGCAGACCGCTACGGATCCTTTCTGTCTGGCACGTACTTTCATGGCAGAAGACAGGGCGACCACGGTGAAATGGTGGCAGGTGACGTTTTGCTGAGAGAGGAAAAAACCCTTTAGCATAAAAAGCTGGGGAGGAATCCAAGCTTCCTTTTTTTGACTCAGCGGCAGCGTTAGCTTCACCAGAACCGCTTTCAGAGACACATGCAGGTGGCACACACAGACACCTACCTACATTTTCTCAAGCCTACGTACAGCCAAGGCTTCCTCACCCTGTATGTCCCCACTTGAACATTTCCGCTAAAGAGTACGGCAACCCATCTGTCCTCATGAACCGCCTCCTCACAAAAAAGGCACGGTTTCTTCCGAGCCGTTTCTTCCAACGGTCAAGATCTTTGAAAACTGCACTTGTGTCACCAAACCTGCTGAGGGTCCCTCCCAGCTTTTGACCGCCCTTGCACTTAGCAGGCACACGCTCTATTCCGGATTCCCAAGGCAAAGGTACATAACAGGCCCGGACCCAGAGCCCCACCCTAGGGGTGTCCCCCCTCCCTCAGTGGGATGGGGGAGAGAATCGGAAAGAAAATAAAAGGTTAGAGCCGAGGGCTGAGATAAAGACAGTTTAATAAGAGAAAATAATAATAATAGTAATAATGAGAATGATAACAGAATATACAGAATATACAAAACGAATGAGGCACAAGGCAACTGCTCACCACCCACCGACCAATGCCCAGCCCGTCCCAAGCCGCAAGCAGTCCCCGAGCCGCGAGCAGTCTCCCCGCGACCGACCGACCGAACTAAGCCCCCCCCCAAGCATGACGTTATATGGTATGGAATAGCTCTTTGGTCAGTTTGGGTTAGCTGTGCTAGCTGTGCTGTACTCCCAGCTTGTTATGCACCTGGGCAAGCAGGAGAAGCTCAAAAAGTCCTTGAGTAGTCTGAGCACTACTTGGCAACAGCTGAAAACATCAGTGTGTTATCAACATTCTTCTGGTACTAAATCCAAAACACAGCACTATGCTAGCTACTATGAAGAAAATTAGCTCTATCCCAGCCGAAACCAGGACAGTCACCAAACCTGCTGAGGGTCCCTCCCAGCTTTTGACCGCCCTTATATTTAACAGGCACACGCTCTATTCTGGCTTCCAAAGGCAAAGGTACGTAACATGCTCAGACCCAGAGCACCACCCTAGGGGTGTCTACTCACACCTAGCTGTTTTCATGAGGAGCCACTGAGCATCCCTGCGAGCACAGCTGCGCACACAAGATCAGTTTCACCCATGCTGATTTCACTGAATGCTGTTTCTGAAGCTTTAAACCAAAAACCGGACCTTGACACCTCGCCGCAGTAGAACTGATCCTTAACTAGAGCTCCACAAAAATGCAATAACACAAATGGCAAACCCACAGCAGCAACAGCTTCACAAATACTTAGACCAGGAACAAGGGAGAAAAATAAAACAGCTTCATCA